AAGACAGGATAAACGGGAGACAAAGCCAAGATTTGGTAACCAGACAGTTGACTAAATTCAGACCCCAAAACTGGTCTGCTTATTCGGCCTGGGTGTGGAAAACTTTAAAACAGTGGCCAATACATAGGCCGGGCTGAGAGGGGCAATCTGGGCAGTAATAGCTAGTCTCACTCTTACGCCCCTCTTGTAGCACACCCTGCATCTTTTCTGGGGGTTTTTCTTTCTGGGGGTTGATGGAATCTTGAAGCAGAAGTGACCTACCTCCATTCTTCTACTAAGCTCGACTGATGGTCCCCTTCTGTGGCACTCAAGTAACCCAGAAATTAGCTGAAATTGAAATGAAAGGAATGTGCATTTCAGCTGAGCATTTGCCTTTTTAAAAATAATAAAGGCATTGTGGACTGCAGTCTGCATTATATATATGCCCACTTTTTTATACCATGCCCTGGTTTTGCGCATGATTAGATACGGCTGCATTAGTTGATCGGACAGATCAACTCCCCCCATATGTCGATTATATTGCTGTATGCAGACTGGCACCCGTTTATATTCCTCTCTGCCACGAACTGCGACCCTGCGAGTGTTTTCCCCGTGGATGGTAGTTAGGATGAAAACCTCCTTTTTATCGCGGTACTTGAGTGCCAGCAGTTCATTCTGGCAGAGAGCTGCTGTTTCCCCCTTTTTTTATTTTTTTTCTGCTAGAGCCTTTGGGAAACCTGTGCGACTCTTCCTGATAGTGCCACAGGCCACGGTCTCAAAACAGTACAGCATTTGTAAGAGTGGGATGCTGTTATAAAAGTTATCAATATATAAGTGATAACCATAGTTAAGTAAGGGCATTATTAAATCCCAGACAATTTTCCCACTTGTCCCTATTATATCTGGGCAACCTGGGGGATCAATGTGGCTATCCCTTCCTTCATATACACGAAAGGTGTATACATAGCCACTGCCACTTTCACATAATTTATAAAATTTTATCCCATACCGGGATCTTTTGGATGGGATATATTGTCTAAATCCCAGTCTTCCCTTATATTTCATGAGGGACTCATCAATTGAAATGTGTTTTTTGGGGGTGTAAATAGTGGCAAATTTTTCATTTAAGTGGGAAATTAGGGGGCGTATTTTATAAAGAATGTCATACTGTGGATGACCTTTTGGGGGGCACTTCATATTGTCATTAAAGTGCATAAAACGCAGTATGTCCTCATATCGCTCCCTATGCATTGTCTGGGAAAAAATGGGGTATTAAAAATAGGACTTTTAGTCCAATACATTCTAATTGTGGGCTTTTTAACTATCCCCATTAACATTGTCAGTGCCCAGAATTGTTTAATTTCTGGCACACTGGTTGGGTACCATCTCTCTGTCCTGGCGATTCGGGAGTCTTGGTTGCGTGCAAGATATTGCTCCGCATACAGATTTGTCTGGGTAACTACCTCCCCAAAAAAATCATCCCCCAAAAACAGCTCCATACAATCCAGCGCATTATAGCCAGACAGGTCAGCCTGTATGCCAGGATTGGCAGTGAACACTGGGATGTCTGGCGAAAAATGATTAGGGGGTACCCAGTCATCTGTGCCATATTGAACATTAGGGGAATCAGCGATTTCCTCTGATGTTACTGCAGAATCTGGCACATAGTCCCTGTCCCCTGCGTCACTCCCTGCGTCACTCCCTGCGTCACTCTCTGAGGCAGTGTCGGTCGCCTCTGAGTCAGCGGCTAACAGGGCATAAGCCTCCTCTGCGCTATACTTTCGCAACATTGTTAATACAGTTAACACAGAAACAAGAAAACTTTAACTAAATAACTAAACTTTTTTTTTTTTTTTTTTTTTACCCCTAACTAAATTCCCCAATTAACACTAAATTCCACCCACCCAACTAACTAAATCACAAATTAATAAAATAAAATAATAAAATTGAACCCCTTAGGGTTACAAAAAATAAATAAAATTTAACCCTTAAGTGTAAAAAAAAAATAGATCACAGTAAAGTACTGTGACCTGTATATTGATCACTGCTAGCAGTGATCAAGCAGCAGGGAAAGGGTTAATTTTTTTTTTTTGACAGGGGAAAAGGATAGTTAATTTTTATTACACCTTAGCTATTCCTCAGGGACACAATGTAGCACCGATCCGTCTCTCTCCACTTCACAAACCCACAAGAGGTGGAGGGAGGCGGATCAGATGTCCCAGCAGCATTGTGACCGCTGTGACTGGCTGTCACAGCGATCACATGTGCTGGGACATTGCGATTTGCTGTTGCTGGTCTGCCCCTGACTCGGAGGCACCCAGCAACAGCGTTAACCCCGCGATCGCCGGCACTGCGGCGATCGCGGGGTTAATTTTACCGCGTGACGGACGAGGTCCGTCACCCGTCGTTAAGGGCATCCCCAGAATGACGGACCTCGTCCGTCATCCGTCCTGAAGGGGTTAATTTGGTCCTGTTGTGCTGCGGGTCCATGGTGATTACGGAATTCACAGTGAGAAATGGGTGTTCTTTATTTGACCGTAAACATATACATGTATTTCTAAGGTGTCTGGCTTATGGAATGTCTCTATGCAATCGAGATTACATTATATTTTACATCTAGGTCTCGCCAACTCGATCGTTATACATTACACCATCCGTCCATCAAAAGAAAAGATACACCCCTCATGGCATAGGATTGGCTCCCGTGTTAATGGGAGGCACCATGTTAAGAAGTCCAGGTGGTCACGCAAATTGGAAGATGTACGTATCAGTGATTTGCGCCAACCATGGGGAAACACGTGGTGTATACCTTTATAAAGAGAACAGAATCCATTACTATCTTTTGCCCTGACGAATGTGCATCTACCTCTGCACCGAAACACGCGCCGCACGGCTCTGTTTGTTTGATATTATTTTTTTCTCTTTTTTGGGGGGCATGTTATATCACTTTTTAATGACTTTATAAATATTCCTTTAACTTTGTAATTATTTCCTTTACCTTTTTAGTTAGATTCTAAAGGGAGAGAGACGTGTTCTATCCTGTTTCTTTTTCCCAGCGGTCCTCTGCATTTTTTTTTTTCCTAACGGGATTTGGTAATACTATCTGTACAATGGGGAACTAATAGGCATACCTTTTGTTGTTTTAACCCCCAGTGTACAATAATTTTATCACATGACAGGAGGCTTCATATTTTGCATAACTTTCTTTACTTTATGCCTCCAGCAGCACAAGTCAATCAATAAACTTTAAACCAATCAGTAACAGGCATCACATTCATATATAAAGCCCTGACAGTCACATGATTTCCTCTTTCTTTGCTGCTTACCAGCCAAGGCACAGGTCAGAGTATTTTGCTCCAAACTGTTTTACTGAATATTGCAATTGTCATTAGTTAATCATTTATTGCTTAACTTTCAGTTTGTTCCAAACTGTTTTTATTAATATTGCTATGGTCACTGTAGTTAGACACCTTATGCTAGACATTCAGTTTTAATCCTAACTGTTTTTTCTGGATACCACTTTAATTAAACTTTATTAATTGACTTTCAGTTTGCTCCAACTGTTTTTATTAATATTGCTATGGTCACTTTAGTTAGATTTTTAATGCTAGACATTCAGTTTTTGCTCCAAACTGTTTCTGGATATGCATGGGCACTTTTGTTAAACTTTATTAGCTTGTCCTGCAATTTTGGCCTAAACATTTTTCATTATTTTGCACTTGCCTTCCATTTGGATTTGTATAGTGTGATATTCTCCCCCTGTTACCCTTCCCCTGAATTAACCCTGTATTTTCTGCTTTATTAGCCTGTTTTCTGTTGCTGGCACCTTTTCTTTCCTATGCTTTACTCTGGTCTCGCATGGATGCGGCGTTTTACCGCGAGCACGCTTTTTATTCATTGGTGCTGGGACTTCAGGGCAGGTCTCTGGGGGTTGGGGATGTCGGGGGGACTCTTTTCTATGCCGGCAGACCGCGATCGTATCCTCGATCGTGGGCCGCACGGCACTTTTGCGCGCGAACGGCGGCCATCTTGAATCTCGCGGCACTCGCGAGATTCACGTCGGCCATGTCGTTTGGCCAGTTCGTGATTCCCACGAACTGGCGGCTAGTTCTGTACTGTTTCATATATTTTTCCTGTGAAATAAAAGTTTTACAAGTACTTTTGAGCTCAATACTGTTCATGGGCATGTGGAATAAAGGTTTTATATGTACCTTTCCTGGAAGATTATGAATGGACTGTTCACTGCTGAGCTCTATACTGGTATATTTCATTGGCATGTGAAATAAAAGTTTTATATGTAACTCTGCATGAATATGTAGGACTGATCCCTGCTGTGTGCATCTGCTGACAGTTTGCTCTATTCTGTTCTATACAATTGACATGTTGAATAACAGTTTTATTGTACATCTGGAGGATTATGAATGGACTGTCCCCTGCTGTGGGTATATAGTGGATGCATTACTCTATCTACTGGCAGGGAAATTAAATAGAGCTGATATCTTACTCCGCTCCCTACTCCCACTGGACCTCACAACCATTGGATACACCCCTTCCCCACAGGGATACACCTCCCAGGACACAGTAGTGGAGGCACATAACGGAGTGATTAACAGGGGTGATCCCCCTTACGCTGGGTGACCCCCAAGCGTGGCAGACACCTCTCCAAAGTGACATTGTGGTACAGGGGTGACCCCCCTCACGCTGGGTGACCCCCAAGCGAATCTGGTTCCTGTCCTAGTGACATACATATACTGGGTGATCCCCCTACTCTGGGTGAACCCCAAGCGAATATTATTCCGGTACTAGTGACATACATATACTGGGGGGAACCCCCACGCCCTAGGGCGGGCTCATTTCCACGGAGTACAATCTGTTACTGTATGCACAGACCGGGTCACACTGAATACATGTATATCGACAGAGCCAGGAAGGAGAGCTCATGGTGCTGCCAATTCTCCACAGTACTATATCCTATAAGGGTGACCCCTTGGATAATTTGGAGGCTACCATACCTCCACATACACGGGCTACGTCCCGACATTACTGACCGCTCATCCCGGTCTTATTGAGGGTGACCCCCTCCTCAGACCACTCCCAGGAAATCTCTAAGTGGTACTGATTGAAACAATTCTGGGTGACCCCCAGTTGTACGTGGAGACCCACTAAGTGGCAATAAGTGTACTACCGTACCTGACACCTGTTCGGTACCCCCATAGACCGAAAGAGTGTCCCAACATGCCATAAGAGACATTCATACAGGGGTGACCCCCCTATGCTGGGTGAACCCCAAGCGAGTCTTACTCCGGTGCTAGTGGCATAGGTACAAAGGGGTGACCCTCCGCACCCTTTCTAGGGCTTCTACCTTCAGAGTACGCTCTGTCATTGTATGCACAGACCAGGGCGCACTAGATGCATGTATTCTGGCACCTCTATGCTCCAACTGGGGTTCCGTACGCCCTTCCCTTAACTGAGAAGGAGAACTCACAGTGCTGCCAAAACTCCACAATTCTAGACCATATAAGGATGAACCCCGTGGACTATATATATTGAGGCTTTCACGTCTCCCAGACTCGGGCTACGTCCCGACATTGCAGACCGCTCATCCCGGTCTTACTGAGGGTGTCCTCATTCTCAGACCACTACCCGGATCCTGCGAAAATGATACTGATTGATCAAAATTCTGGGTGACCCCCAGTTATACGCGGAGGCCTACTGAGTGGCAATAAGTGTACTGTTGTATGATCCTGTCTCCCACGGACCGAAAGGGTGTGAACCAACATGTCGGACTTACCTCAATATCCCCGACCGATTTTCAGGCGAGGATTAAGGCTGCCATGACAGCTCCGGGGGAAGAAGTCCTCTCCAGTATGCTGGCTAACAACCCATCCGACAGAGCGGGTGCAACGGCAGCAACAGCAATGGAAGATTGAGATACCGACGTTAGGTCGGACACCCATCATCAGGGGACGAGGACTTCATCCTCCCCCCCCTTCTCTGGAGATCATGAAAGAATGGAGGGCAGAAGAGGTAAAAGTGACAAGACACGCCTAGCAAGAAAGGTTTTTTCTTTGGCACACTGGACACTCCTGTTTTGACTCACACACCATCCGACAACCAGGGTCATCCGAATGGGGTTAACTGGAGCACCGGGCCCACTTCTGGCTTAGGAGGCCTATGGGAAAAGAAATCCGAGACCGGCTCAGGATGGAATGCCCACGCCCTCTATGTCCGAACAAGATAGTCCTCACTATGGAGCTCGTGGTGATATGTATGTCCCGATCAGTGTGTAGGAGGAGGACTCAAAATGAGTTAAATACTGGATATGATCAGCCCGGGGAAAAAATTCTATACTTTGCGGACCTGACCCCACACAAGACTCACCTCTAGAAGCTCACGATGTGAGGGAATGGGTGCAAAGAGCAATATGTAAGTTGGGGAACGCAAGGCAGACAGGTGCACAGAACGCCGCAAAGCAGCCCGATTAAAGATGGATTTCAAACTATTGAAGTTAGGGACGAAAGAGCGAGGACCTCAGGCAGACGGACTATCATTTGGAGAACCATTTATCTCAGCAACGGTTTGGTAGTAAGGAAGAAGATAGGAGACTATCACCCAGTCATCAACCTATGCCAACCCAATGGTTTTGGGGCGTACCGACAACTCAAGAAGGAAGGTATCCATCTCTTAGGGGATCTACAAGGTTGGACTTGAAGGGCACTTACCTATAGGTTCACATGGTGCCTCATGAAGTTTCTGAAGTCGGTCACTGCGCACTGAAAAGCAAAGGGTATCTGCTGTCACATACCTAGACGACTTTTGCAAATCCAATTCATGACTACGTTTACAAACGAGATTTATGTTTACAGTTTCGGGAATTGTTGGGATTCATAGTGAACAGAGAGGAGTTGGTTCGATCCCAGTTCCGAGTGATTCAGTTCCTCTATTTCAGAATAGATTCCACCTTGGGCGGATTACACCTTCCCACATCATTGATAGCGACGATTCGTAAGGAAATTCGACAGGTACGGCGGAAAGGCACCATAACCCTTTGACTATTTCCCAGGACTGCTTCACTACCAGGCCAGACAGTGGCTGAAAAGCTCACTGCCTGAGATACGGACACACCTATGAAATTGGGATCAGAATAGCGAAGACTTCGATAGTACTCATTACTGCGGTAAAGGAGGCAAGCGTGACACCCAGAAGGGTTGTCCTTAATCAGGATCATCCTCTGCTCCTTCCGTTTTAACTTGCCTTCGGGCGGATCCAAAAGGAGAACATCATCCATTGAGAATGCAGGAGCATCTGGAGTTGGTAGATTGGTGTCTTCCAGGGGAGACTGGTATGTCAAGGGACTATCGCAACCAACTAGAGACCTACTATGGGACTCATGGACGCCAGGTATTCCCCCGAAATAACTTATCCGCATGGAACACCTGGAGTTTGCTGGTGTATGGGAAGGGACTGCGATCCCTTTATTACCCCTATCTCCACGATGCTGGATCTTTATCATACCTTTTCACTACAGGCGATCGGAACGTTCCATTAACGGGCTACGTTCCGCGATTTCGACGACGCATAGCACGATTCACGACACTCCGGTCAATCAAGAGCCTTTGATATGCCATTTTCTGCGGGGTATCAAACCGTCCAGAACCATGCGTCAAAGTATCACTGGTGTGGGACTTTGATTTGGTTCTTTTGGAGCTAGTCAGATATCACGGTCCTATCCCTCAGTCAGCCATTAGCCAGAGTCACGTTACTTTTAGGTCTTTTCGTCGGGTATCAGATGTACTGGAGTTCGACGTAGACGGTCTTTTCGGTATCACCAGAAAGAATAATTTCTACAGTGTCTTGTAGAACTATATCTTATCCGTGTCCGTATCGTTCCCTGTTACCGACTGTTTCCCAGCCTTTGTGCAGTTAAAGGGGTACTTTGTTACATGGAGATCACAACAACACTTAGAATGTCACATTCAGGACATCTGCTGGTCTTATACCAACCGTACAAGCCAGCTACCATGAACACTCTGTCTAGATGGGTTCATTGGTTGTTATCGCTAGCGAGGGTGGAGACGTGTTTGGGTACTCATTCGGTAAGAGGTGCAGCTGCTTCTCAGGCCTTCACGAGGGGGCCTCTATATTTTCAGCAACGAATTGGACACGGATAGACTACTTCCGTATATTTATTTTCGTCAACCACACACGCATCCTTCACGCTCATACCACAGCTTTAAAAATGCAAAATATGAAGCCTCCTGTCATGTGATAAAATTGTAGATTATGCTAACGTAGTGTACCTATAATCTTAATTTTAATAATGACAGGAGGCGAGTATTTTCCCTCCCTGTTTCCCTCCCTATACTCTGGAAAGTTTTTATATTTTGGTTTGTCATTTTCTCGGTGTAAATTATAAGGTTTGGTAATTCAGTATATTTATGGGATGCTTATTTGGTTGATATGTGTTAGATCCGTGTTGATTATTAAGTATACTATGGTTTGTTTAATGTTTCAGTATATTAACTTAATATAAATATAGACACATATAGTACTGGATTTAATGTGGACAACAGTTGGTTTCCATCACCTTTCACGTATTTCTGTTCTTTTCAGCGTAATCATCATAGATGGATTCGACAAGATAAAGCTGGAAGGTTTCAAGTTATGTTCTACACGTTACTCAGGACTGTTATTTGAATTCCCTGACGTTATAATAGACTGTTTTTCGCATCAAAGAAAGAGGAAGTCATGTGACTGTCAGGGCTTTATATATGAATGTGATGCCTGTTACTGATTGGTTTAAAGTTTATTGATTGACTTGTGCTGCTGGAGGCATAAAGTAAAGAAAGTTATGCAAAATACTCGCCTCCTGTCATTATTAAAATTAAGATTATAGGTACACTACGTTAGCATAATCTACAATTTGAATATATGGATAGATTTTACGCTACATTAGACTTTTTATTTCTCAAGCACCATGGGTTTAACCCCCTGTGGACAGAATCTTGCAACTCAATGCTGATTACTTTTACTTAACTATGCTCATATTGGCCCAACTGATAAAGCCGGTTGTGGGCATTAGTGACATTGTCATTATCACAGTAGGGGGAGGTAAAGGGATAGCCTTATAAGATGTTACTATATACAATTTGTTAGTTACTACTTTGTTGCTACAGTTGTTTCTTATGTATCTGTCTACCACGTAAACAGTCAGGATACTGTTATATATCCAGGGGGCTTCATTCTCATGGTTATGAGACGATTCTGCCCATTTTTTTACTTTTCTTAGGATATTATAGGGGTTAAACCCTGAGACACCCCTGGAGTGTCTTACTGGTGTATTAACTGTGTGACTGGGAACATATATACAGTTGTGTACACTTACATGTGCGTATACCTGTGTTTGCATTCACAGAATTTTTTTTATTGCTTCAGGTTAACATCTAACTACTCTTCATTATGACATTCATCCAACGTCTAATCAGGTTCTCTAGATATAATTCTCTATAACCTTCTGAATACATTCACATTACCATCTGCTTGCTGGTAATGAGTGCTGCATGAAGTCCCAGTCTTTCCAGGGTTCATCCTCCTTAAATGCTAATACAGCAATTAAATTCATTATTTATTTTTATATTTGTCCTGTCCAATGGCAAAAAAAGATTAACGACAACCCCACATTCATACAGAATGTTGCCTTCAGTTTTACCTGCACTTACCCATCCCGTACATCAATTAGATCTGGTCCATGAAGATGTGTGTACTGGTTTAGATGGATCTCAGACACATGAAGCTGGACTGATAAAATGCCAGGTCGATGACTATATTTCCTATATAAGATATTGGAACATACTTAGATGACATCTCTTTATTCTAATTATCATTTGTTTTCTCTAGTTCCAAAGTCTTTCAAAGACTTCCCCTCCTCTGTTCGTATTTCTATATATTTCTTTCTCACTTGCCAGGTTTTGTAATATTTTTCTTATTTAATGGATTATTAAAACTAATTAGATTCATATGAGGTTATTAAGTTGTGTATTAGTCATTGCTTTTCACCCAGAATCCTGCCCATTTTGTAAAATTGATAGACTAGAGAGCAAAGAAAATAAATGAGTGGCTATTTTAGCACTACCACAGTTATGTTTAGTTCCCTTTATTATAACAATATCTGAATGGAAACTGTAAATGATGTAGTAATTAAGTACAGGGTCCAAGGCACCCCAACATAAATTTATCATGATATTCTGTGAAATTGATGAATATTGTCAGAAGAAGAGGTCATCTTCAGGCTGAACATAAATCAGATAATTTATAAATGGGACCTACTATAAAAATGTATGCTTTACTTTTGGCAACAATTTTCACTCTGATGTCATTCACTTATATCTATTTTTCAGTGCCCAATTAACTCTGTAACAGTAATTCAAATCCAGATTTTTGCTTCCAATTTTATTTCATTTTTGGCTCCTTTTTTATGGTCGAAATATATTTTGCTTATAATGCAGTGTGGGTGTATGTAAAATTGCTAATGTTTATGAGTTCGTTAAGGTTCCTGTTACTTATCTTTAAAATGTAAAATGACATTGTAAACCATTGAATATTTCAGAACAGAAACTCATTATAGCATGTAGAAAAAGAAATAATATAACCATTACGGCTTGAGAACTTAAAGCGTGGGAAATATTAGTAAGACATTATCATGGTTATTAAAGATATATTTATGAAATACATAATGGCAAATATATGTTTATGGAGACACCATGAACCACAAGACCACAAGACAGAAGTCAAGTTGTTTCGAGATATTTTAATAATTAAAGATGGCACTAAATGACACACACCTATATATGTGTATCTCTGTGACTAAAATGTATGTTATATGGAATTTAAAAATGTGTTCTAGTGGTTTCCCTTAAGTTCAAACTCTTTTGTTGTAGGAAGGTTCTTGCAGTTGTATCTCCGTGTCTGATTTTGGGGGGACGGTTGTAAGTTTATATCTGTATTTTTCCTTCTTACCTCAATGTCACAATTTTTCCCTCAGTATTTCTTGTCCATTTTATGTTCCCTTTTACTGTTGTGCAAGGCTCACCTTATGTCTATTATTATCACCCATAGATTTGCGAGTATATGTCACTCTATCTTGTGGATTTACTAATGTGTGAGTGTAAAATAAAAAAAAATCAAATCACATAATCATGTATTTCTCCTAAAAATAATCCATTTGATTTCCTAATCTGGATTGCAGTAAAAACGATTAGATATACTTGTATTAATGGATGAGAGCCCTCCTCACTGGCAGGAAGCTGCCAATTTGCAATTCATAGGTTTCACAAAAAAATATTTAACTCCCCTTCAATATAATATAAAATCTTTCATTCTTCTTATAAAATGTTCTCCCTCATATTCTTTACTTTCTTTACCCTCACTTCTCTCATTGCCAAAATATCTCTGTCATTCTTCCTACCTGTTCCTGTGGACAAAATTTTCAATGCTCCCACTCTACTTCCCTCCCCTCTTTATTCATCCCATGCACTCCACTTGTACCTTTCCAGCATATCTCCACCATCTCTTTCTAAATCCTCAAAATATAATCACTCTCACAAAACCTTTAAATCCTGCTCCCATCTTCTCTTCCTTTCTGTCCTTCTACTCCTAGCAGCTGGTGATGTCTCTCAAAACCCCGGTCCCACACTTGCAAACCCATCCTGTGCTAACTCCAACAATCACTCCAATCTCATACCCATCTCACGCTACTCTTCCTTTAAATCCTCCTTCCACACTGCCCTCTGGAATGCATGCTCTGTTTGCAATATTACTAAATCCACAGCTGTGCATGATCTTTTCATCTCTCGTTCCCTACAATTACTAGCATCAACAGAAACATGGCTCTCTCCCTCTGACACTGCTATCCCTGCCTCTTTTATCCTTTGGTGGTTTTCAGTTTTCCCACAACCCAAGAAACTCTGAATGTAAAGGTGGTGGCGTAGGGTTTCTGCTCTCACCTCACTGCTCCTTCAAACCTCTACCCACACCCCCTTCCCTCTCTTTCTCATCATTTGAGATTCATTCAATCCGCCTTTTCAAACCCATCTCTGCTAACATTGCGGTTATCTATCGTCCCCATGGTTCCCCATTTCTCTTCCTTGACCACTTTGCTGCCTGGCTTCCTTACTTCCTCTCCTCTAACATTTCATCTGTAATTCTCGGAGACTTCAACATTCCCATTAACTCACCCTTGACCTCAGCAGCCTCAAAATTACCTCCTCCCTTGGTCTATCACAGTGGGCTAATTCCCCCACGCATGTAGCAGGCAATACTCTAGACCTTATTTTCACTCATGATTGTACAGTTTCTACCATCTGCAACACTCCATTTCCTCTCTCAGATCATTTCCTATCATTTGCTCCCAATAGCCCCCTCCCCCAACAACCTCAACCTAACCCCCCTCAACTCAGAAGGAATCTGAGTTCTATAAACCTCCAGCAGCTGTCAGCTGATTCCTGCTCACTCATGTCCCTCACTGGCTATGTCCTCATATAACTCTACCTTCGCCTCAACCCTGGACACTGCAGCCCCTCTCCAAATATGCACCGCAAGGAGGACATGCCCCAACCATGGCACACTAAATCAACACACTACTTGCAAAGATGTTCTCGTTCTGCTGAACGCTGCTGAAGGAAGTCTCACACCAAGTCAGACTTTCTACACTACAAATTCATATTGCGTTCATACACCACAGCCCTTAGCAAACAGTCATACTTTTCTTCTCTTATTCGGTCATGCTCCCACAATCCCAATAAATAAAATATATTTATTTAGTCTCATTGATACTTTTAACTCTCTTCTTTGCCCTGCTGCGGCACCCCCCAAACTAACCTTACAGCCAATAGTCTTGCATGCTACTTTACTGACAAGATTGAACAGCTAAGGAAAGAATTCTCACCACCTTGCCCCTCATCTTTTCAACCTCCCCTGGATCATGCCTCTCCAACCCTTCCGACCTTCTCCCATGCTACTGAACAATAGGTGGCTGCGCTTATCCTTTCCTCTAGCTCCACCACTTGCCCGCTTGATCCTGTCCCGTCTCACCTTATTAGATCCCTCTCCTCTTATCTTGTGCCCTCCTTAACACACATCTTCAACTGCTCTCTTTCTTCTGGCACTGTTCCTGCTGTCCTGAAACATGCTACTGTAGTACCATCTTAAAAAAAACATGTCTCGACCCATCCTCCCCCTCTAACTATCGTCCTATATCCCTACTCCCTTTTTCCTCAAAGCTTCTTGAAAGACTAGTCTTCACCCATCTGGCCTGCTTCCTCAACTCCTACTCTCTCCTCGACCCTCTTCAGTCTGGCTTCCGCCCCCTCCACTCTACTGAGACTGCCCTTATCAAAGTCACTAATGACATTATCACAGCTAAATCCAAAGGTCACTACTCCAT